TCCTTCTCCTCCTCCTCCTCCTCCTCCACCTTATCCACTACCACCACCTCCGCTTCTTCTTCTTCTTCTTCTTCTTCGTCTCTCTTCTTTTCCTATTCCTTTTCCACCGCCTCCTCCCGTTTCACCTCCCTTCTTCCTGTCTTCCTTTTCTCAATCTCGTCCCTCGTGCCCTCCTGCGTTCCTGTCTCCTCTTCTCCTCACCTCATCTTCGCCTCGAGAAGGCCTCCTCGAGACTGGCCGATGTACGGGGCCCGAAATTCCGATCCCCACCTTCGGTGGGTCTCAATTTTTAAGGGATCCTATCTTTTTTCCTCTTTTTGCCTTCTCTTCCTTCGCTTCTTGCACCATCCGGCCAGTCTTGCATGCCCTCCTCCGGCTTCTCTTATCCCTTCTACCCCTCGTTTACTCCCACCGTTGCAACCTGCGCGCACATACACAAACTCCTTCCTCTCCAACGGGATGGAGCGTGAACTGGCTCCACGTACTACCTTCATCTTTCTCTATCTCCTCCTCCTCCTTCTCCTCTCCCTCTCTTCTTCTGTTTCTTCTTCTTCTTCTTCTTCTCCTATTTCTTCTTCTTCTTCTTCTTCTTCTCCAACGTCGTCTTTTCCTCTTTCTCGTTCCGGAGGCTCCTTCCTCAGCTTATTCGCATCGTCTTTCTCTCTCTCTCTCTCTCTCTCTCTCTCTCTCTCTCTCTCTCTCTCTCTCTCTCTCTGTCTGTCTCTTTCTCTCTCACTTCTCCGCGGCCATAAGCGCCTTTTTCTTACGGCCAGTGTAAAAAGGCAGGCCTCATCTCGGCAGCCCTGGCAGGATCGTTGCGATCGGGACTTCGCAGTGGAGATAAATCTCGTAATAGTTTAAATTTTAACTAACACAAAGTAAAACAACATTAAGCGCTTTAAAAGTCAACGACTGTTGTTTAGTTAGCCTTACATCATGATCAATTTCCGAAACTACTGTTTAGCAATCTTTATCATAACAATCAATTCACAATAGCTTATTACACTCAAACGCGAGAACTGACATTTCTTCCTGTCCAAGAAGGGAGATGAAACGGGATCGGCTCTATATAAATATTTCAGTTATTTCCATGCCATTGGCAAGGAGGAGGGAAGAGAATGGTTCCCAGAAACTACTCAAGATACTAAAACTGCTGTCCATTATGTCACCTTCCATATAGTTGTCATTGTACCGAAGCCAGCAGCACTCACCGATCTACTACTTTTAACCTCGGTCTCGTATATTTATGGTGCACACACCGGATATATGAGACGTATCTACAGTTTAACGTCGATTCGGAATGGCTAATGTAGAAAAGTTGACAAAAATACACTACTTTCTCTCCGTGGCTTTGTCGGCTATCTACCGAGAGGTAAGACGAGCGTACGAAGGAAATTTTCAATTCTATCGGGTATCGAACCCGGGACCTTCGGTATATACAAATGTACTGTCTACTATGCCACGCTCACACTCAAATATTTCAGTTATATTAATGAACTTTGCTGCTATTTTGGAAAAGCTCAACACTCGTGGGGAGAAGAGTACTGTTTTGATAGAAGAGTATCAGAACTTTGTACGTCCTATCGAAGGATGTAATGATATTGACTTGAAAGCTGCGAAAGTTACGCCATACTCCTTGCCACTGTGCGTGGAAAGTTTACGCGCGTATAAGAGAAGATAAAACAAGTTATTATATGCAACCGACGACGGCGACACGATAACGTCTCGTAAGTATTCTTCAGCATTCCTTATCACAGAGAAGAGCGCGGGGTATTAGAATACTAGTAATAGGGAGTGAGATAAAGCTCTTTATCAGAGATTTAAACCAATTTTCCTCCGCGAGCACGCGTCACCGTGCACCCCGTGATGTTCGCGAGCGAGGGCTAGGCCAGACCCTCGAGGGCGTTTCCATTTTCTTCCCTTTTTTCTTCTTCTAACTCACCGCGGAATGTCGTAGCATGCGTGCGATCCGGAGAAATGCAGGGCGTCTCAGGACGAGCGCACGATCCTGCCATTGGTGTGGCATAGCGTGCGCGCGAGCTAGGAGGGCGTGAGAAGAGAGGCGGAAGGGAGAAGGAGAATGGCCAGGATTGCGGCGGCACCGGGGCGGAGGACGAGGACGAATGAAGAGGAGGCAGGAGCGAAGGAGACGAGGAGAGGAAGAAATGCGACGGGAGGGTAGGGACAGAGAGGATGGAAGGGCGAGGAAGGAAGGGAGAGAGAGAGAGAGAGAGAGAGAGGGAAGGAGACCCGGCGAGGTCACGGTACGACCCTGCTGAACGTGGTTCCACCCGTCCGGGTCCTGGCGGTCGGTAGTAAAACC